TATCTGGTTGTATACACAAGATGTATGATATGGTTGTGGTTGGGGGGAGGGGTTATTAAGCCAATGTGGTTTCCCCCCCCCCTTCTCAAAAATGTTCGGTGCTCTTCGGCATTTCACTGTGCTGGAGGGGGGGGGGGGTCAAGGTCCCCACCAAAACTTAGACCAAACCTACGCCCTTGTGTAGACACATTAAAAAAGGGGAGTGTTATGTATCTTCTATGCACATACTGCCATTTCATAACACAACCAAGTAACAATGTTACCTTCAGTTGTTATAACAATGCCAATTATGTGAAATATGACTTAAGAGAAATTTTACTTCATAAATTAATGATTTGAAGTTGGGTCTATCGTTAAAAAGTCCCGTTCTTTCTGAAATTCCGCCTTTTGGAAGTATTCATGACATTGCTCCTCTATTAACCTTTTTTACCAGTGTTGCAGTGAAAAGTAACTTGTATAATGAGCTCAACAGGGGCGCAGTTACACCAGGTGTTCAGAGTCTACTACTTACTTGAGTTTTGCTCATAGAGGTCCAGAAACTAAACGCCGTCATCTCTCCCTTTAGGACACTATTGAGCTTGTGATGGTTTAAGCTCAATAGTGTCCTAAGGTTTCTTCCAAAGAGGAGAAATTGCATCGCTACACTGCAATTTCTCCTCTTTTTGAACCTCGTCACTGAGGTTCCCAAAGATGACAGAGATTATAAGCACGTAGTCCCAATCTGTATCTGTCACATTAAGTATGCACAGAAAGATGTCCAACAACCAGATATTCACACAGTTATGACTGAACAGAGGCCACTTGCAGGTCATTTCCACTGCAAGGTTCTCCTTGAGTCTCTTTGACTTGCCTGAGCCAATTCTGTCTGATGTCTTTTTTTCATCTTATCTGTAGTAAATAGAAAAATCTATTTAGAACAATCTGACTGCACCTGCATGGTTCTGCAGGTCTACATCACCTGTTCGGTCCTCCTGTGTGACATTGGATTTCCTGGAACTCGGTGCTCTCAGGGATGCATCAGGTCTGACTCGGGGAACAATCGCAGGAAGAGGGACGCTCCAGCTGAGACAAGCAGCCACTCCATTTCCCAGGGTCCTTTGCGCCTTGTTAAGACATCTGACACCAAAGGTGAGAGTTCAACTACTGGTTACTTAATCCAAGGTTTTTGTTATAAAGTTTTCTTCTATGCTATTCAAATTTGGTTTGTTTTTGATTGTGTGGTCAGTTTGAAATATTCTAAATTCAAGATTTTCATCTGCTTTTAGAACTACTGGGGATATTTGGATTTACCATGATATATTCAGTCATTTGCAAATACAGTTTATTTTAAGGTTGATAACATATAATAGAACAGCAATAATTAATGCAAAATAATTTTTTCCTACATTGTATTTGCAAGCAGACTGACTTTCTCTTCAAATAAAATTCAAGAATCTTACACCAAAACACCCTTTAAACCTTATTTTCTCAGTTTGTCTTTTTTCTGGTTCTGCATTATACAAGCTATCATCTTTTATAACCAGATCTGATTTATCGTTTTACATTTCAGGGTCTGGCCTGAGTGTGACTCTGAGTCTGAACCAAATCTTGATTGTTGGCTCTGTCCTGGTACTTGGAGCGATCATCTACCGGTCCAGAAGAACCAGAACTAAATACCAACCAGTGCCAACCTTTGAAACACAATAACTTTAAATCTGCTACTTTCAAAACTTAATTTCTCTCTTTTAAAAGATATTGGTTGCTTGGAGGTGAATTACTTTATTTGCAAAAAGGCATCTTTACTTTTAAAAGACAAAACAAAGAAAGCTGTAGATTCTGTGAACTCTGTTTTACTGGGACTATTTGAGACGGGCTTTTGTTGTACTCCAAGTGTTTTGCAACCATACAGTTTTTATTTTGTTATGGTAATTAAGTGCATGTTAAAATAATTTCGAACTGATGGGTATCACAGGTTCCTGGTAGTTTAAAATAATTTGAATTTGCATGTTGGAATTCCTGATTTCCCTTTACATAATTTCAACTTGAGTGTGGTGTTCGATAAGCCCTCCATAGTCCCTGGGCACAGCTGTATTGGGCATTTTATTTTTAAATGGCAGTGGGAATGCATAATGTGTGATATTTGAATAAGTTCTGTATTTTGGGATCAAATTACATTTTTCTTTCTTCTCATACCTAAACTAGATAGAGCAATCAATGTTTAATCCTTTTTTGTGCCACTGACAACCATTAAAAATTACTCGTCACAAATGCATTGCAATTTGTTTTTTCATTCACTTGTGGGGAAGTCTTCAAAATTCCTATCTATTTTTTCACCAAGTCATAAATTAATTTCAAATGAGATTTATAATACCCACTGATTACAGCTGAAACTGGTCTACACTTAAACCATTAATAAATATCTAAAACCTGATTTAAGGCCTGATTCACACAACAAGCGGTTTAAACTGTCAGTTGATTTTCAAAACATGAGAAACCATGCACACGCAACAATAATAAAAACTTCATAGACACAACAGAGTTGATCCGACAGTGTGTGGTGTTCAGCCACATGGCAAAGACTACACAATCAGATTTTAGTCATGAACATTCATATGACAGAAAGGCAATCTCTCAAAAAACCTCTTGTTTATTTACTCTAAACATGAGTTTACTCTAAACAAGGAAGCAAGAGAAAAAACAAAACAATGTCTCAGATGTCCACCAGACTTTGAGACATTTTGGTGCACCATTGCAGTTGTTTTGTCTCCTATAATTTGCATTGCCCTGTTTCCGTCACCTCACTTTCTGGCGACGGAAACAGAAAGTGAGTTGATGAAACATTCAACAGGCTGTGTGCTCGTTTGTCCCTGGAACACCCAAATGCAAATACAAGACAGTCCAAAATGTTGAATGTCTCTAATTTGGACATGTGCACCATGTGCAGAAGCTATTATCTTCAATGTCATTGTCTTGGGTTCAATTCCCAGTCTTGGGCCATTTACTGCTTGTCTTCTGTCTCTCAGTCTCAACCCTATTTCCTGTCAATTTGCTATTGAATGAAGTGCCAAGAAATCTTAAAAAATAAAAATCTGTGATTTGAGGCCAGAGCAGTCCTGACATCCTTCCCAGCATATTATATAAATCCTGTCCTCAGAAGCTGGTGTCCTGCAGGTTTTCTCTGTTTCAACACATCTGAGTCCCATAATTAGGTCATTAGCAAGGCTCTGGAGAACCTGACTGCACATTAAGGAGGTAATTCAGTCATTTGATTGAGGATTGTTGAAGCAGGACCACATCCAAAGGTTGCAGGATCTTCAAGGCAGGGATTTGAGGAACCCTGGACTAGATCACTCTTAACACATCACACTCAGCAGGAATATTGCACAATACTATCTTTATAGCCATCACGATAATTAATCAGATTGTCGGAAGAGAGCGAGTCTCCTAGGAAGTTGTGGGTCTTATAATATTTTGTGGAGACACTGAACAGCTGCCTCCAGTTCAAGTCAACTGCAGTTTACCTGAAACACCAACACATGCACACAGTAGCCAAGAAAGGCCTAATCTAAACGCAGAGCGCATGCAACACACCTCCAGAGGTAAATGGCTTTGAGGGAAACTTTCCAAACAGCAAAATTTAATCTGTCAGTTTATGCTACAGTTAAAAAAATATTGTTTTCAAGTTTCTCCCCCGTTAGTGTGAACCTTCATCTCAATGCTGTCCATGCAGGGGCTCCCTTAGATACCAGTGTTTGTTTGAATCTTTTGCATTCCTTTGACGTCAGACTGGATGAAGCACAAAAACAAAATCTTTCAGTGCACACCGTGCTAAATGTCGATGTTAAACGTCTGCTTAAGAAGTTCTGCAGTTTTATTAAGTAGGAAAGTGACACAGTGTATGAGCTCTGCTGCTGCCTCCACCTACCTTCCAGCATAAATATTTGATCTCCATGGGAGATTGTAAGTGTTTGTAGTGTATTTTCCATTACTGTCATGCAGAATATAATTTAAAAAGATATTAAGTAATTTAAGGAGTCTAATTTATTTGTAAAGGCTCTAACAACAGTATCCTGGAGACCACTGTTTGTAGAGCAGTTTGTGCTTTAGGGTGAAAGCAGGACAGGAAAAGGTTTTATGTACCGTTTACTTCCACGGATGAAACAATCATTTCTTACCTTTCAGACAACAAAGGGTGTTCCACTCAGAGCTGCGTTGTGTGACTGTTTCTGTTGAACGTCACGGTAAGCTGAAGCAAGAATTGAAGTTATTCATATTAATGTTAATGTAGAGGGGTGAAAAATGAGCTCTTAGTAAATTAAAACAATAATTAAGAAAATAGGCACCCCAACATAATTTTTATTTTTGTATTTTGTATTTCTCATTGTACTAAGTTCTGTAGTGTCAATTTAGATTGTCCGATGCAATTCCGCACACAACCGCTAGGGGCGCTGCCGCGTTAGTGGCACAGAAAAGATTGAGCACACAAGAAGAATAAATCTTCCAGTTGAATGAGAAGGAAGCTCAACGTGTGTGTCTCGTCTTTCCTGTTCCACAGCATCACACGTTGAGGGAAGATCATCTAACACATTACCCTCAGCCATCCTAGGTTGCAGGGTAACATTAACATAATTTGAAATGTCTGTCACATCTTACACTATGCAATGAAACGACAATAACCGTGGAGTTGTCAAAGTCTTTGTCACGATCCGTGTTTCTGTGTGTTTATTTTTGAGTTTTTTCCTGTGTAGTCCTGTTCCTGTGAGTCTCAGTCCTGTCCTCCCCGTTGATTGCTCCCCAGGTGTGTCTCGTTCCCTTAATTACCCCGTGTGTATTTAAACCCACCTGTTGTCTGTGTTCCTCGTCGGATCCTTGTCATTGTCTACGTCTAACTGTGTCTTACGTCGTGTGGACGTCTTGTGTTCGCTCCAGTTGAACTGCTAAGTCCTGGCTTGCGTTAGCTCTCGTCTCCAAGTCCTGTTTATCAGTTGCTACCGGTATTTGGCTGTGTGCCGGTCTCTCTGCCGTGCTGCCTGTGTTGGACTGTTTTGAGCCTTCATTAAATAATCATCATCACCATAACCTGGGTCTCAGCGTCTCTCCTCACCACCAACCACCACACCCCATGACAGACTTCCCTCATCAAACGCAAGGAAAACCATTTGCATCTAATTGACTGGTTGGATTCTTCCTGCAGCCTGAGACGTCATTCGAACGCCACCCACCTGGTGGCAGTCATGCCCCTGAATGGCTGTGGGACTCGGGTTGAGGTATAATCCACATATATGGGAAACACAGTGCACCATCTGGCACCTCTAACCAGACCGAGTCTTCATCTACTTCCATACAGAGCTGGGAGGAAACTGCGTGTTTTAGATTTTTCTTTTTTATATCATCAGGAGGACGACGACAACATGATCACATCAGCTGATCCCAATAAACTCATTTCCAGGCACCAAGACATTGAGATCGTCTTTTCCTGCGCCTATCCAAAGCGAGCCAACCTGACTCTGGGATTCACACACAAAAACCCGTACTTCTTTAACGAGAGAGGATTCAGCTCCTTCACCTTCCAGTTTGAGTTCTTCGAGAGCCAGCGTTTCAGGAAGCAGGTAAACGCCAGCAGCTACCCGGTGGAGGTTTACCTGAAGCAGATGATCTTCATGCAGATCGAAGCCACCTCGTCCATCCCAAACACTGAGCTGTTTGTGGAGTCCTGCAGGGCGACTCCCTACGACAACCCCAACTCCCGCATCAGCTACACCATCATCGAAAACGGGTACTGAGAGAACAGACCTGCTTCTTACTGGCTAATGAACCCTTTTCTTTGTGTCATGTATTTTTACTGGTGTGTTGCAGATGTGTGAAGGATGAAACTGTGCAAATCTTCCCAAGCTCCGTCTAATTTCAGATTTGGTATGGAGGCTTTTGAGTTTATTGGAGCTCACGAGGAGGTAAAGTTATGAATTAAAATGATTAAGTTTGGGTTTTATTAACAAAAATAGTCTGCAAACACTTTGATTGGATGTACTTTTTCCCATAGTCAGTCAAAATTTGTAAATCTGTCTGACCTCTCCTGCATGTGTCTGCAGGTTTACATCGCCTGTTCGGTCCTCCTGTGCGAAAGCGGCAATCCTGAAACTCGATGTTCTCAGGGATGCATCAGATCCGACTCACTGAACGATCGCAGCAGGAGAGACGCTCCGGCCCAGACGAGCAGGCACTCCATTTCCCAGGGTCCTCTGCGCCTCCTTAGGCATTCTGACACCAAAGGTGAGTGTTCGTTTACACTTTACTCTTTTAGTTAGTGCTTGTATTATTTAGAAATACATTTTTGTAGCGTATTTCATGGTTATGAATATTATTTTACTCCACTGAAGTTTTCTCAGATTTTTATTTAGCTGTTTTCACACCAACAACCTGCCAGTTACTGTCATTGTGCTGAATCTGGGATGTTTTTGCCAACTTTGATAAAAAGCCTTGAGCTCTTTTTTTCTCTCTTGATATATTAGAATATAAATTCTTCTATTTTAATGAACATTTTTCTTTTTTCTCAGTTTCACACCCAGATGCAGGTTCAGGCCCAGGCCTGTATCTGGGCCTGAACCTGGTCTTTGCTGTCTGCTGCCTGTTGGTTTGCGGTCTGGTCATCTACCGATCAAGAAGAACCAGAGCTAAATATCAACGCCTACCAGCTGCCGACTCTCCAGTCGACTCTGATCGCCCAGTAGATTAAGAAGATGGATCTTCTCCATTTTCTTTTTAGTGAAAAAGTATTAGATTATGTTTTGAGGGTTTATGTTCTTTCTTGAGGTTTTTTGGTATGAGTTGCATGGCAAAAGGGAATTATATGATTTTAATGCTTTATAAGCTTTGATTTTACAAATTGTGTAACAATCAAACTGTGAATGTTTCTTTGAATGCTTGCAATAAAAAATATTTGGATAAGCACAATAAACTACTGTTTTAGGACTTCAGATTTAAGGTAAAAATTCCTCTTGGTTAAAAAAAAGTTTCAGAAAATCTGTTGAAGCTGATGCACAAACTGTAGCGAAAAAAGTTTAATAAACAGGATTTCCTGTTATGTTAATTAATTTGACCACATGTTCATTTTACTGTTCATGGATTTCCATCAGTAAAACGTCACAGCTTTGATCTTTGTGGTCTTGCAGCTTGCCAAGTGTCCACAAAGGAATGACGCCCCCTGCTGTTTACAGCTTATTGTCTGCTGTGGGAGTTCTGGGCTTGTCACATGTTTGGCAGTTCTGTACCAACTGGACCCACCCGTCCAAATTTAACACACACAGAACATGAAGTACGGTGATCCCTCACTATAACACGGTTCACCTTCGCGGTCTCGCTGCTTCGCGGATTTTCTTTGTGCCGTTTTTTTCACAGTGCATTGTGTTCTGCATCCTGATTGGCTAAAATATAAGTAACGCAGATTGGCTATTTAGGAGATGGAAACCGAAACTTTGAATGCCTGATGGAAAAAACTGTGGCCGGAGGCAGCAAAACCCGACGAGATCCAGCTGTGAATCTGGTTGGGCAGCTTGGAGGAGACGCTTTAATGCCACGACTCCAGATCACATTAAGGCCCGATTGATGCACATCCGCTGACATGAAAACAGGTTTTGTTCTTTGGTTTCAATGTAAAGTATATAATTGTAAAAATAAAATAAAATAAAGGTAACTACTTCGCGGATTTCACTTATCGCGGGTTATTTTCGGAACCCCTAAGAAAAAGAGGGATCCCTGTATACAAAAAAAAAAAAAAAAAAAAAAATTTTTGCTTTTGGAAACTTGTTTTACCGCGTCACATGATTATCAGTAATAAAAGCTACGACTTGCGGTTTAATCTGCTGCTGTAGGAATGAAGCAGCTAAACTTCACTCCTCGACTCGTAGCGCCACCCAGAGGGCAGCCAGGGAAACGCATGGTGCTTTAGATGCCCAGGACTTTCAGCCTCTTCATGTCTGCTCCACTCTTGACACAAACTATTACAAAACTACTGAGGAAGGAAGGAACGATGAAAACATCACGACTTTTCATGAAGCATGAAATGCAAGAGTCAAAAAGGTTTTACTTCTTCAGCTAAAAGAAAAACCTTCACAATGCAGCAGTTTGCAGCATTGAAGCAAACAAAACAATTGTTCTTATAAACTACCTATTTCTGTCTTTTTTTTACAAAGTACATTTACTTCAAGTATAAACAATAAAGTTGTTTTTTGCAGATGCTGAGTCAGCAGTGTGGAGCATCTATTAATTATTTCTGCAGATATCTGATGTTTCCTCATTCAGCTCATTGTTTATGCCTGTAAAGGCCCGTCACTGAACATTTATGTAATAAACCATTCTTAGGTTTCATCATCAGAAGTGGAAGTGATAGGTAGAAGTTAATTTGATTTAAAGTAATCCTTTAAACGTAGTAACTCTGGCTGCAATCATTTCCATTTGAAAAAGAAAATCTGTTTTCATCCTGCAGGAAAATTAAGATAGATCTTCTATAGGAACAGCATCTGGGGCCGTTCAGCTCACGTCTCATATCTGCATGCAGTGGATGAATCAGCTAGTTAGAATTCGGTCCAGCGAGTTTAACTGCCCCGTCAGCTGGAGTCCTTCAGCTGGGTCAGGGGAGAAGCGGCCAGACGGGTGAGATTCTTTACAGTGTTGATTTTGGCAGCAGTGAGGTTTGAGCTTTGATCCATGCAGACACAACGTGCTGGAAGCCGCACCTCTTGTTTGTTTTTACTCTGCAGTGATTGATCGCTGACAGTTACAGTAAACGGTGAGGGCAGGTGTTACAGGAAGTCATACAGTAAAAAGAATATAGAAAAAGCATAAAACTGAACACGTTTTCCATCCATTGTGTTTGTTGAAAACATGCTTGATGTTCAGTTCAGTCTGGATGTCCTGAAGCTTCTGGGCTGCAGAAATAAGCAGATCCATGATTTTCATGGACGCTTTTATCAAAGTTTCTGCACTCAAATCTAAAACTTTTAAAGACTAATATAAATGAAATTTAAGACATGAACCATGACAGAACTGTACAAAGAAAATCTAATTTTTATTATAATAATGTATGTATTTGTAAGAATGGAAAACTATTGAGGAGGAAATTGTACTTCTTGTTGGATTCTGACAATAGATTTCATCTCATTCTTAGTTTAGCTGAAGTTATCATTTACAGCAGTGGTCCCCAACCTTTTTATTACCGCGGACCGGTCAAAACTTGGAAATTTTGCTGCGGCTCCGGGGAGGTGATGGGGAGAGGGGGCGTGAACCGTCAGATCAGGCTTCTGCATATTGGTGTTCCCACTAAATCCTGAATATGGCCTATTTGGGTTGTCTGGGCCCTTTTATCGCAGCCTGAGGTACAACCTGCTGAATG